TTTAGATCACATATGTGATTTAAATTCAAAAAATCAATTAAAAAGAGAATACAAAATTATTACAAAAATCCTTAAAGAAATGAATGAACAGTGTACACATCCAATATATACTTTTCCTGATTTATACACAACATGAAGAATTCATTTTTTAATTTTAATTTTATTTCATTTTCTCAGAAAATTATGGATGCGTTTAATAGAACAAAACGATTACTGAGCGGTCATTATCTTTACTATTAGATTCTTAAATTTAGATTAATTACATTGACAAATTGCTGAATCCTTGTGTTTCCTGAACGCAGTCTATTATATAGAATGTAATTTTATTAGATTAAAAGGAAATTTTTCTGGCCAAAATCGTGCAAAGATAAGAAAGCAACCTTTTATTTGTTCTAAATTTAATATTAAAGAAGTTTAAAGGAAATTCAAATATATAATTAATACAAAACGTATAACGTTATCAGTACAATTAAAAAAATAATTAACACAAAAATAGAAAAAGTTATATTTTCGATTGAAAAATTCAGAACTTCTTAATATTGAAAGAGATTGACATATTCGCTGCACTCTTCATGAGGCCTGCCTCTGACATAGAAAATCGTACATCACTGCATTTCATATGAATTTTGAACACTCTCTAATCCTGTTTTTTTCTATACAGGTTCATACGATCAACAAGAAGGTATAATATCTGCATTGATCAGCCTTTCCAGACATACATTTGATATTATAGCGCCGTGTGTAATAAAATGGACGCCGAGCAAATCTTTAAGATCGACTACTGATATGCAACTACAAGCGTTTATAAATTCACGTAATTCAAAATTTTGGAAAGCTTACTTAAAGCAAGAACAATTGTTAATTAATTAAGAGCTTATTTAAAATAGAGCATGTGATTTTGATTAAATTATATATGTAACATTTTCATCTTTTAATTATGTCATCTGCGAGCAACTCACAGTTTAAAGCTAATTAAGTGGGAGTACAATAAGAGATAAAATGTACAAAAGTCATAAATGTAACACTTAATATTTAAAATTTTTTAACATAGTTTATCTTATTTTGTTTTAGCAGCGTATGAGTTTATGACATCATATAATTCTGTGATTTATAATAATTCTTCGGTATAATGTATAATTAAATTTAGTTTTATTTCATTTCATTAGTAATGCTCATATTTATTTTTAAAATGAGAGTTAATTGTTTAGTTTTGTATCTATAGAGAATTTATTACAAAGTATTAAAAATGTTTTCCCAGTTTGAAGCAAATATTTGCTTTTATAAAGGAAAAATTAAATAGAGAAAAATGAAAACGTTATATAAACGTTATAAAATTACATCTTTTACATTGCTCATTTTTTCACAAATTACTCTGTAAAATATACTCATATATCTCGATTTCTATTTAAAAATTTGGAAAGCTTAAAAATAAGCCATATTTAAAGTGATCAAATTAAATAATAATTTAAATAGAACATGAATTTAGAATGTAATTAAAATCAATCCATCATGCAAAGAATTATAAATAATAAATTATTTTGTAGATATCAATACCTGTTTTATTTTATTCAAATTTAACACGTTTTAT